GGGGTTGTGGGGGGTGGGGGGGGGGGGGGGTGTGGGTTTGGTTTATTTTTTTTTTTCTTTCCCCCCCCCCCCCCCCCCCCCCCACAACCACACCCATATACGATACTAAACAAAGTTTCTTTTGATATACACTTTTCATGCTTATACTTATTGAGGAGCTACCATTCATATTAAAATTCGTGACCAATGCTTATTTACTGTAAACTTCATCTTTTTGCATTATTCTTAAAAACTACTATTAGGAGATTTTTCATCGAAGATCAGTGACTGTTTCCTTTTCAAATACACAAAAAATCAAAGAAACGTAAAAAAAAGAGTTGAATTACTTTTAAAATATTACTTTAGCGCCATACTTGATGTATAAATTCGGTTCATCGTTCAGTTTGACGAGAATATTGATTTTCGTAGTTGATGAAATACTTATTATATATTTAGAAAAGTCGAAATAACGAATTTCAACGTCGTACGTACAATTTACACAAGCGTAGGTTTTTAATGAAGCCTGTGTTGATTACTAGTACAACAGGTTACATACTAGAAGAGTATGAACATTATTTATCAGATAGTTCCAACAATGACGCCGCAATCCAAGAAGATATATTAAAAAAATGAAAATGGAATTTTAAATTGGATTCATGATCACGATATAATAGTGGTGGATCGTGGATTTAGAGACAGTGTCGGATTAATGCGAGCCTTAGGCCTTGATGTATGCATGCCCGACTTTTTAAATGGTCGGCGTCGTTTTGACGCACTAGAAGCAAATCGATCACGTTTCATAAGTAAGATTCGATGGGTAGTTGAATCTGCAAATGGTAGAATAAAACACTTCAAATGGTTAAACCAGACTATTCAGGATTCAACAATTCCTCAAGTGCGTGATTATTTACGAACTAGCTGCGAGCTTGTTAATGCACATCGGTCACCAGCTATTTCTTCATTTATGAACGATGATATGATTGTTACTAAAATCTTAGAAAATCTTCACGCACCGAATTTACCCCGTGTACGTATTAATGATGAAATTCTTCGTTGGGTAAATTGTGATGCTTCGCAACTTGCTAATTTTCCAGTACTAAGTATAGATCAAATTCGAACAATAACTGTTGGTAGGTATAGTAACATCGTATTTATAATAAACAGATATCAATTTACAATTCTGATCCATCTGAAAATATATCTACTGCTAAGAAATATGGTTGCTCTTCATTGTGAAAACTAAAAGCAGCATCTATACGTAGAAGAATTAGTTAATCAGAATCCGGTATTTTTATTTTATACCAAGAATTTTTTTAATTTAATTTTTAATGGAGATAAATGCAAAGTAATATTCTTACAAACTCGTTCTTAGTAAAGTTTGTCATAAAAATATTTTTGATAAAAAAAGTAATTTCTCTTTACCAAACTCCTTTTTAAACGATTACATTAATTAATGATTATTATTATTCACTAGCATACAGACTCTCTACTGGTTTATCTGTACTACTTCAATATACTAATTTACTTTAAAAAATTCTATTCATTTTCCTTAATAAATCTTTTAATGGATTTCGTTTTAATCACTTTTTAGGAGTTTTTCAATTAAAACAAGCTCGCAGTTACTGTGAGGAACAGTGTTCAACAATTCATTTGGATAATCCTGCTGATTTTCCTTTACAAATACGTGTTAATGATCCTCAACTTATTCGGATAAGTTTCAAATCTCGTCATAGCAACACAAAAACCTATTATACTTACATTTCATTTTCTACACAAGATATTCTAAATAGTTGCTGCGACTGTCCAGATGGCGATAGAAAAGTTGGAGTTTGCTCACACCGAGCAGCTGCTATCGGGTTTCTGTCATACCAACGATATAACAATGGTCCTACAATCAATCAACCATCTGGCTCTTATTTAAACTTACTTGATGATAGTGATCGGATTGATGATTTTGTTGAATCAACCGATGAAGATGAAGACTATCGATACTCTCTTCTTTAATGAAGAAAAGATCTGAAAGAACTTTCTTCGAACTACGATAGAATAAATATACTACTTCTGTCATACTGATTAGATAGAACAGACATCCTAATGCAACGCGTTCCGACAGAAAAGTATAGATCATAGGTCCTGAAAAATTATTTATCCTACATCGATTTATGTATTTTGATCAATATTTCCCATATAATCAATCAAATGATAACGTTTTCATGTTCACTTGTCTTAGTAGTTTTAAAGCGTTTCATAATTGATATTCATCCTCAGAAATGGGTTCGGTTCTAAATCGTATAGTAGAGAACCAAGGTCAACAAGGTTACCTCTACGGGGATTTTTCATGGATTTTGGAGGCTGTGTACTTCAAATCGATACAAAGACAGATTTTTTTTTGGACATCATGTCCTTGCAATATTGTAGCCCTTACTTATTCCTAATGACCCTAAAAAAATCACTCCGGTTCTGAATCGTATAGTGGAGAACCAAGGTCAACAAGGTAACCCCTATAGAGTATTTATATGTATATTTATGGTGTGGTGAAAGTAAAGGAAAAGTTCAACGGACCAAGTTGAAATTTTGTGTGGTGGCTACTGGTATATAGCTGAGTATTTGCTGAAAGTTTGAGATAAATCTGCCTTCATCTTCTTGGTGGGCCGAAATGCACGTAAAACGTCCCCCGTTCTTTCGTATCTCAGCAAGAAAGCATTGAGCACCCAAACTCTTTTGGAACTTTTCTAGTCGCAAAGTCTTGCTATTAGAATTATCAAGATGAATAAAAGAAAAAGTTTGATAGGAAGTGATATCAGAGATAAAGTGAGTATTCTGTCTTATTCTGCAACAATTATTCTTCATCTAGTTTTTTTTTCTGCTTCTCAATGATAAATTGATTTGATATCTGATGATTAAAATATAAACATTACACTTTCTAATATTCTATCTTATCTTAAACATATTTTTGTTGATAGAAAGTCAATGTAATTGTCTACTTAGGTTAAAGTGTTTTATCAAGACTATTCTGCTTTTTGTTCTTTTTGTCACAACTTTTTGGATTGCTCTATGATCAATCTTTTTTTTGTTAATGTTCAAAAATACGGAAATCATTTCGCAACCTCATAATTAAATCTTGGTATTCGATTTACCAAAATATCACGTAAATAGCTCCGACAGGTAGAATCTAAAAAGTTTTATTCTATTTTCCATAAGATATTAGGATATGTATTCTTGTATCTTTTTTGTGGCAATATTTAATCGTACAAATCATATGATTGAAAGATGTAAGAATCTTAGGAAAGTGAAACGCGACAAAAACAGAAAAACAAAACCGGAGCAAAGCATAGAGAGGTAAAGAATAAAAATGACGACTTTATTGAAGAATAAAATAATGAATATTTATAATTTTATGATTCCATACGAGTACTTTTCAACTAGTTTCGTTTGTGTTTTATTTTTTGTTATATTTTTTGTCCGCCACCGATAAGCAAGTAATGATTCATGAACAATCAAACGTAAACCATATGTTAAACCTAAACATACGTTAATAAAATATCGATAAGACTTCCTTTTTTTATTTACCTCCGTACAAGCCCAAAAGATTTATTAATATAATTAACAGCTTATTATTTGGTAATGTATATTGACATTCTAATGGCTGACATGTTTGAAAATAAGTTGTATAATTACTACCATTTTTCCATGCTTCTACAAATAATTGATCACTTAACACTCCCAATGAAAAATTTTCAGATTTTGATAAACGAAATCCATCATATGGAAAACAACCAGTAACAATATCTGCGACCAATGGTTCACTACAATCTGATGAGATTGCACAGCTACAATTTAATAATGAAAAATTTCGTGGAAACGTTTTCAATAGATATTGTTCATTTTCATCACTAAAATCAATTAACCAATTCGTTCTGAAACGATGTAATAATTGATTAACACTAAATGAACCAACTATAAATGAAAGAGTACGGCGATAATTAGCTGGAATTTGAGTAATAAATTTCGATATTAACGATTGTATTTGAATATCAAATGAAGAATGAGTTAATGTTTCTACAGTAATGAGTTCATATGTATCTAATATTTCTTTAGCATTGTCAATAAAACGATGAGATGACTCACATAATGAGGACAACAAACGATAGTGAGCATTTAATGATGCTGATACATTACTGTCACTTTTTTTTAAATTAATGACACTTGATGAAGAAATATATTCATTTGAGCATATTGAATGATATTCGGGTTTTATGGATAAAATTCTTGAATAGGGAATAGCTACTTTTGAGCAAGGACATGAGAGACTTGAAAGGTTCTTTTCATGAAGATTGTTGACAACATCCATTGTTGGATATTTTATTTTAACAACTTCTGTTTCTTGATTCAATGGACCATAATAGATAATGACAGCAATTATACATATTATAAATAGAAATATATAAATGCGAGAAGCAATAATTTCTTGATCTTGGTATTGTTTGTCTATCAAGGTCGTATGCTGTACAAATATATTCACTGATGACAGTCTTTTGAGCATTTGATAGGAAGCACGATTAGGTCTTTTTGAAGAAGAACATGGAGAATTCATTATTGGATCTGAAATAAGGCAAACATCTATCCAACTGTCTTAAAGTTCTTCTTTTTGTAGAACTCACATATATTTTCAAAAACAAAAATGGTGAGTGGAAGTTTAGAGGATGAATTTTGCAATTTTTCACTCTCTCCGTCATAACAGACTGTACCGACCAGTTTTACAGTCGTTGAATATTTTAACACATGTAAAATATGTTCGTTCTACATACTAACCTCAAACGGCATGCACTAACATAGTTTTACATAAGAAAAACTGCCATACTGTATTACTATATATGAATAGTACATAGATATATGCTCCAATTTGTCTAAATCTAGAATTCCAACTAAGATTAGGTTCAGTCGATGCTCAAACTTTTTTTCAAAAAGACTTCAAATTGTGAATCATATGAATTAAAAGTCGAAGTTTATTGAAAACAATTTGATAAATTCGTCTTGAAAAAAAAGAATCAGATGTAATACCATTTATATACTGCTTTTGTATTGAAAATCATCCATTGTGAGACTAAGGCATCATTAATACATATCATTGTCTTGAATGTAATCAAAAGAATTCAAAACATTATTCTGCGCAAACTAGTGGAATTTATCTGCAGTCATATGTTGAAAAAAGGCATCGATTGATCGTGGTGGATCAGTAAAATGATAGTGAACTGTAATCTATCGACACAACAAGACACTCTACTTGTTTATGATGCTAGTGTTCTTTTCATAATACTCACTTGAATAAATAGGATCAGTCATTTCCTATCTAAAAAAGTAGCCTAAGTTTAGATTTCTTATTTTACAAGCGCAAAAAGTATCCACAATCAAAATAAATCAGAAATATTTTAGTCTCGAAAGAAGTTTTTATAACGCAGCATGTCTCATTATGCAGATGCCAAACTTTTAGGTATAAATATGTTTAAATCATTTCTTTGAAATTTCTATACAAGTCTCATTAATATAATATATGCCTTTTTCTAAAAATCTCATTGATTCATAGAATATTGTTTTATGTAATATTTCTATTGAATGGAATAAAATAATAGTAATTATCTTACTCGCTGCAAGATCGTTTGGATTAGCTGTTGAATTTGATTTTTGTTTGCGTTTGGACCATTCTTGTAAGAATATTCCTACAAGTAATGGCAAGATAATTTGTAAAATTACTGTTAATCCTCCATAAAATCCAAGCATTATAATTAAAATATCAATATTCACACGTTTTTGTACAGTATAAGTGCATTGTGAAGGTGCACATCGTTTATAATATGACGTATAATTCGTTGAATTAATCCAATCTTCGACAAATGCTTCCGAAACAATCTCACTTATTGTTGTATTCGGATAAAAACGACTATTTTCATGCTGAAGTGGTTGTATTTGAGCAACATTTTCTTCCAGCGATCGGACTAAACCAACAACATCAAAATTGTAATTATCAATAAGAAGTCTGATACAATTTTTTTCATATAAACATTCAAATGTAGATAAAAGAAGTGAATCAATTATATAACAACCAAGATATAAACCGGGTATGGTTATAATGGGTTCATCAGCGACTTTATTCGTTTGAAAATAAAAACCAGTTGGACGTCTACATTCATTAGATGAAGCACATGAACATGAATTCGTATAAAAATTTCTCGATCGCAAAAAGAATGACCATCGTGATGTTTTGTTATTATATGTTGAAGTAGGTGCAGTAGCTGTGAACATGTCTTCAGCTAATTGATTGGTTTTAATAGCAGAACGCATTAATTGAATTAGACTATCAAAAGAACTTACAGTTCGTTGTTCTAATCGTTTTAAACGTGCCATTGTTTCAATATTAAATTGTGCAGGTGATAAGACATGCATAGTAACTAATCGATTCGATCGAAATACTTTTAATGCATTTTCAATTTTTTCTTGGGATACTTTACATAATGTACTCATTAGTTCAAAAAATGATCGACCACCAACTCGAAAATCAGGTGATAAAAATTCAACACCACTAACATTATATTCTACACGATCGAAATATGATAACCAATTATCTTTTATAAATTCACTCGAACATATCGAATGATAACGAGGAATAAGAGACATTATTCTAGCATGAGACATTGAAAATCGTGAACATGGACAATTTAATGTTGATGAATACATTGAATGTAATTCTTCAAATTTCGAAAGCGAAGGTTTTTCAACAGTATATGTTTGACTATGTTTTAATAAAGATGTATAGAAACCAAGAATAATAAGACCAACAAATATGAATAGAATGTAAAGACGAGTAGCAATAATACCTATTCGTTCTTTCTCAGGATCATTTTTATTGTCCGATGGAAATAAGTTAAAATTATAAATCGTTCGGCGAACATGAACAACTAAAGCTAGAGGGAAAATAACTCATTCGAAATATATATTTTAGTTGCATCCAGAGGTGTCCACAGGGCAGGGAAATCCTGCCCTTTCCTGGACAGGACAGGATAGCACATGCCAAACTATCGTATAGGGTAGGGTGAGTCTTTTATACCCTGTGATATTTGAAAATACGAAAATTAATTTTTTCATTTTTCGACTTGGGAAACAACGTCTAATTAGTTCGCGACAGCTACTAATTAAAATTAGACTGCAGAGGGTGACGCTATCTAGTATACAATATTTTCCTCTACGAATGCACATCTAAACGAATATGGTTAAATAAAAAAGTCGACGGAATTACTATTGAATGTCTGTATTCGTATTTCTTGTTATTGTGATTTATTACACTAAACTAAGATATTCAAATATGAGTTCGATATTATTTGATTTGGATGATGATATTTGTCTAATGTCCACTTCTGATCCTACTGTTTCATCAAACACGTCCTCAAGTTGTCTTGCTGATCGTTCAACCTCGTCTTCTTCAAACTTTTATACTTCACAACAATTAAAACAAATGCTATTAAAAAATGATGAAAACGTTCGTCTTGAAGATAATAACTCAACGAAGGTATTGCCAGCTTGGTGGAGATCTTTTAGATATATATCTTTAAAAAATAAAAAAAATGATTTTGAACGTACTACTGGTTTAATAGCATGTTTTAAATGTTCTTCTGTATTTCGCTATGGGCCTAAAAGCAGAGCAAAACATTTTGTTGCACATGCAAGCCGATGTTCTCCATTAAATTCATCAGATTCTATTGCAAGTGGTGCACAATCTCCAAAATTAGTTTAATATAAATTAAATGAAATTGGCTTTCGACGAAGAGATAAATTAACAAGTAAAGAAAAAAATGAAATTAAAGATCTTTATGCAAACTGGATTTGCTCAGATCTACGACCATTTACATTAGTTGAAGATTATGGTCTTGAACGCATAGCTAGTATGTTTATCAAGATAGGTAAGAGAATTCTTCTCACAAAAATCTTGGAATGTATTTTTTCTAATATTCCTTAGGTGCTGAACATGGTCTTGTAGATATTAAAGAACTACTACCAAGTCGTCAGACAGTCGTTCGTACTGTTAATGATTTGGCTAATAAATGTCGTGCTGATTTAAAAAGTGAACTGATTGAACCAATACGTGCAAAATCAGTTACTATTGCACCTGATTTTTGGTCAACCAAACACAACAAGCAGGCCTATTTAGGACTTAATGCTTCCTATGTAAATTCAGATTATGAATATAAAGTTATTGATTTATTGTGCCGTCCCTTTAATGGTACTAAATTATATGATTTAATACTTGAAGTGAGTAAAAATATATTTCTGTTCGAAAAGATATTTTTAACACGTCCGTGTCAAATCCTTGTCCTTAACAAGAATGAATTTTTTTTCTTCTTTAGGCTCTTACAAAACACTTATTAGATTTTGGAATTACTGATTTACTAAGTGTAAATATAATTACAGATCGTGGATCGAATTTCATTAAAGCTTTTGCTCGGTATGAGTCAATATATTGCTTTGGTCATCGGTTCAACAATGTGTTGAAGATATGTTTTTTTCAGCAACAGAAAAAGAAACAACACATACAAATATCAACAGATGACTTTTTTATTGAATCTAAATCAACATTGACAAACGTTAACTTTGTAGCTCAAGACGAAAATTTATCAAGCTCTTCTGAATCAGAATGTTCAGAATTAGATGAAGAACAACAACAACAAAAATCAAATGAATATTCACCATTAGTCAAACCAAGATGCAAAAAAATTTCAACAATAAAATATAATGCACAAAAACTATCAATTAATGAGATACCACCTGAAGCTAAACAAGTTTTATTTATACTGAAGCAAGCAAAAAAGCTTGTAAAGTATGTAAAGTTAGCAAGTATAAGAATATTCAGTGTAAAATTTTATTCAACGATCTAATATCATATTTCTATCATTCTTCAGACTGGTTTGAATACACAAACTAAAGAAGATGGTGGTGTGACTCTACACCAGTCGGCAGTGGTACGGTGGTTATCATTGTCACAACTATTAAAATCTGCTATAAGATCATTCAAAATCATTAGAAAACTATTAACTGGTAAAGAAAAGCGAAAGTTAATTACGGATTTAAATTTACAATATCTGAAACAATTTTGTGTTCTCTTAAAACCTTTTCAACACGTTATAGTATCTGTTCAAGTCGGTGATGCACCATCTCTTTATCTTGTTCCAATGTCTTATGCCACATTGAAAGAAGTGTTACAATCGTTTGAATTAATTAAAAAGTATAATGAAGAAAATATGGACTTAAAAAAAGAAAATAGTCTATTTGATGATTCATTTGATAATGATCTTGAGAACGAATTACCAGGTATATATTTATCGCAAACTTTTATTTTGATGCTGATGTAACCTACTTTCTTTAGGAATTAAATGGTTTCGTGAGAGATTATTGGTACTGCTAAATGAAATGATGATTTTAGATATTCGACAAGTAGCAGCAACTCTACTTCATCCACGGTACCGATGCTTGAAAAAGATGCCTGATTACGTGAAGAATCAATGTTACAGATATGTTAGGCAACAGATAAAAAAAAGAGATCAAGAAGAAGAAGAAGAAGAAAAAAGTCGACAACAACCCTGTGAACCACCAGCAAAACGAATCAAAAACCAAAGAAATATTTTTGCAAGATTCGAATCCGGCAATGTAAGTGAAGAACTTGATGATAATAATGGAAGTGGTAATGAAAGTGAAGAATATGATTATGGTATAAGAAAAAGCGATGAGCTTGATCGGTACCTCTTGTTCGAATTTGACAAGAGTAAAAATACAACAGAACCATTAGAGTTTTGGAAAAATCATCAAAAAACATTTCCATTTCTTTCGAAATATGCTAGATCAATCTTTTCAATTCCCGCTACAACAACAAACGTGGAGCGAGAATTTTCTACAGCTGGCTGGATATTGAATGAAAGAAGAACAACTCTTCAACCAGAAAATTTAGAAAATATTTGATTAGTTCGATCAGCTGAAAAAAATTTGTACAAAAAGTAAATGATGTACTTAACTATTTTTCTTTTCTTGTACGCAGTGGTTATCTAACTTATTATTGTTCGTTTTTGTTGAACATTCTTGTAACATGAAGTTCATTAATAATCTATATGGGTTTAAATTATACTTTTCTGTTTTCATTATTGTTTTTCGTGATATTAATAAGTTCTATTGATTGAACTATTAGCTACTCGTACAGTGCAGTAATTTAGATGAAGCAATACTGTATAGTACATTTACGAAACAACTTTAACTTTGAACTCTACAGGAAATAAAAGTCGAAAATTTCTTGTCGATTTCACAGGGTAACCCTGTCCTACCCTGCCAGTAACCGTGGCAGGACAGGACAGGACAGGGTGTGTTTTTTTTCTAAGTATTTCTGGCCCACAGGGCAGGGTAAAACAGAGAAGGGTACAGGACATGACAGAGCGAAAAAAAATTGCCCTGTGGACACCTCTGGTCGCATCTATTTATGATAGTGTGTTCGAGTCTTGACATTAGCAATCATAAAATAATCTTAGACAAATGAAAAAGAGTTGTTGGTCTCAGATTATCCACCAAGTAAAACATTAACTATATAAAGACATATACTGGCACTTATTTTTCGTATGTATGAGAAATTTAAGCAATCAAGTAATATTCTTGATCAAGAAAATACTATTTGCATTTGTAATTGCTAATTATATATTATTCACCTTTATTAATTGTTTTTGGTGCCGTTTTAACATTTTCAAGTTGTACACATGTTGGTTCTTCTGTTGCTGTTGGTTGGTATTGTTGTTTTTTCCATGGTATTCGTTGCCAAATTAGGATAAGAACTGGTGTAATTAATTCCCAAACAATGACAAGACCACCGAATGCATTAAGACTCATAGTAATAATTGTTCCAAGATGAAATCGAGTTTCATAATTATACGAGATAGATTGGGGCTGACAAGCAGCGAAATAATTTTCAAAACTAGATTGATTTTTCCAAGTTTCAACAAATAAAAATTCATCGAATAGTGAACCAATTGTTAAATTTAATGGAAATTTTGATAACGATATATTCAATGCTTTGGGTTGAGAAATATTTGGTTGAAGTGATATTGCATCTATGCATGATTGATTATATAAACATTCAAGTGTAGATTGACGCATGGAATCAAGAGGCATACATCCAGCCATGAGTCCAGGAATCTAAAATTATATTATTTTTTTGTCTTTATAGATAATATTTTTATATGTTTTTAAATTTTATTGAGAAAGGAGCAATATTTGATGTGTGTTTCGTCAATTATTAACATCAATCAAGAACTAAATTATACAAAAGTCGCATTATCGATCATGGCGATAACCTTTTATGCATACGAATTACGATATCAATCACATTCTTCTAGTTTATTCATTAAATAATCGATGCAGCATTTCTCGTAAAGAATATCTCAAAACTTTCAATTCATCTGATTCAGTTAAGAATTGTTATTCTGCTGATCTTCAATAAATATTTTTATCTTATATATTTTTTTAATTTTTTTTTCGATATCGAATAATGAATTAAATTCATGTTTAACTGAACCGTATAAAATGATTATTCAAAAATTTTGCTATAGGCAATTTATCTTTTCTTTGAGTTGAAAAAGCTTGTTAGCGCAGCCCCTTTGGGGATGAAATGTGGAACTCACATATACATTCTAGTCTCATTAAACTAATACAAAATACGTAAAGTGATAAATCTCTCCTAGACTATAGCTGTTTTGCAGAATGATCGATGTCTAGAATAATGACCTCTCTAATTTCTGCATTTCGAACAGAATTTTTTTATTTTTCTCTGCGAGCGCCCTATTTTTTTGTTTGCATTGTTGTTATTCGCTTATTATTTTTCATCTTTTTAAATTCGTTTTTCTTAATTTAACATTCTTATTATTATAATCATTAAACTAATTGACAAATAAGTCTGTTTTACGTATTCATGATATCTATAGCATATATATTAATCAACTCGCAAATAATGATATTCATTATTTTTCAAAATTATAACTTGATCGATTTTTCAAAAAAACAAACACTGGAGAATCTGACATCNAGTGTACATCTTGTAAAATATATGCAAGAGTTAATTCATCTGTGATTTTCGAATACCACATGTAGCCGAAGTTGATAAAGATCAATTGCTCAGGTGAATATTTTTGTAAACCAGGTAATTTTTTTCTTCTGTTCCTCTTAGTCGAACCCAATATTGATAGGCCTAACAGAAATAAACTGATATAATTGAGACAAAAACATAAAATCTTACGAAAAAAGCTTCTTTCAATCCGCCAATGTCCATAATATTTTCTCCTTGTATTTGAGAACCGTTCATCTAAATAGATGTCAAACTTCTCTCATCAATTTTGAATAAATAGAAAAGAAAACCTTTAATTCTGTTCCAGCCAAAGTCACTCTACATTGATCGTTGATACATTGTTTTCGTTCATTGAATCTCTTGATTGCCTCGTTAGTTCACCAAGGAATTCGGTTTCCATTTTCATCATATTTTCGTCCGAGATCATTAAAACTATGTGTAATTTCGTGACCAATTATCGTTCCTATGCCTGAAAACCATCAGTAAACTAAATAATTTGTCTTGAAAATGATATAATTATTCACCTCCATAATTAAGATATCTATTGTCAAATAAAAAGGTCGATCAAGGGCAAGGCAGACTACGAGTGTTAACTCACTTAGGTGCATCTTTGTAATAGGCTGGCATTTGAAGAATACCAGCCGTAAAAGCTATAAAGAGTCTAATGAAAATATAGTTAAAAGATAAATCATACTGATTCGATTGTATTCTGGCGTGCGTATAGGTAGCATCGATGTTAGTCGGTGCAATCACCCATTTTCTACGATCGACTGGCTCACAAATTATTTGAACATTTTTCTTCATTTTTAGTCGAAGTATAATCAATTCGTTGCTCACCAGAGACGAATTAAAATTATACTAAAAAAACAAGCAAACGGTAATCCAAAATTAAATTATTAATAATGAGAAAGTTTATTTCTATTTGTACCTCAGCATAGGCTCTTTCCAACTTGGTTAAATTGTCATTGCCCAAATAATCAGGATAGCCAATCTCTTCGATCATAGTATGGGCCTTTTGAATAATATCATTGTATGTTTAAATTTCTGTTTTTTTTTCAACTTACTTTTTCTATTGCTTTTGATTTCGAAATTGGATCCATCCAAGATGATTGTTGAACCATGTCGATAAATGCATTGCGAACATTCACAATTATTTCCATTGACTAAACAAATGAATAATCAGCAAAATGAAATATATTGTTGTTAACTAACTTGATTACGAGCACTCTCGTCAAAATATTTTTCAATGTAGAGTTTAGCAACAGCAAAATCCATATAGTAGTATTGACATAGGTAGCACATTCAATTGCACGTAGTTTCTGAGATTTCGTTCCAGTGAAAAATTTTAGAAAATTTTGTTTGATTATTTGAAATCGTTTTGGCATCTGATCAATTCGATTGACTACGAATCGCCATACTAGATAGTTTTGCAAAGTACGTGGTGAATAATAATTAATAATCGAGGAAACATTGCGTATAAAGTCTATTTC